TGACCCTCTTTACAGTCGAGGGAATTCTTATGTACTTTTAGCTTAAGTACATTTTAGATGAAAATAAGAACAGCACAACGAAACTCTTACCCTTAGTACTCAAAGTTGGCTTAAAATAGATCAGCATCCAGGCAATGAATGACATTTTAGGTGTAAAAATACAATCAACAGTGCTATATCGATGCAAATTGAATGCTTTCAACCTATTCAAGACGAGATTATTTTTAATGGCAGAAAATATTCTTTTCATTCTTTTTTCCTTCAAGTTTATTAATATGATTTCAATATATGATATTCTTGAAAGCAATTTGTAACATATAAATCTGCATACTTAATATGAGAATAGAAATGTATTACGTCTCTCTCTCATGGTAAAGTGTGTTAGCATTTAGCATCGATATATGTCATGATCATTACGATAAACTTATTATAACACATACGCATCTATGTTTGATCACCAGTGTTGAAGGTTTTCACTGTTCTCAAATGACCATCAGTGACCATTTATCCTGAATGGCTTAAGTGCTCTTACATTGGTTGAAATCGAAGTGCTTATACATCCAACTGGCACCGAAAAGATCATTGTGATGCAAGATTTCCTCTTAATTGTACAATTTCATACAGTCATCTTGAGGGTGAGGGTGTGGGCACAAGTATTTTTTTTCTTTCAGACCCACACGTAGATTCACACCTATACCCTCGCCGGCCACACTCCGCAGCCTTGTCTGTCATGTCTGCTTTTTACATTCGTTTGCAGAAAAAAAACTTCCAACATGTGAAATGGATAAGAAAAAGACAAACATAAAAACTGTTTTGTCGTTTCTATTTTGGTAAAAAACGTGTTTTTCTTGGAAGCTTTTTACTTTTGAAACAGATATCCACATTATAAGGTAGGCAGAAATGAAAACAAGAGAACAGCTTCTTAGCAAAGATTCATATCAGAAGTGTCGACTGATAACAAATTTATTGAGATATTCAGTATCACAACGTGAATCATCTGTAGCGACAGTAGTATATAGATATATGACTATCATTATAACTTAATTTCACTATTTTTTATTTTCACCAAATTTCTATTCATACTTTTCGAGTAATATCTACGTTAAATACATACGATGGTACGTCGTTGGGTGGCTGTAACTGCATTAATATTCGCTGTTGTTGTGGTTATCAATTTGGCATTGATACCAGTCTACCTCAGAAAATCTAGTAGGTATAAGACTATTTAGTAAAGAGCCAAAATAGAGAGAAATGATTCAATGTTTAAGTTCATTAAAATCGAATAAACACTTCTTAACTAGTTCGATTCAATTCTCACTATATTCTTGATTGATTTTAGAAACTAAGCCGACGACAAACTCTGTTGCTGAGCTAATCGATGCATCACTAAATACACTCTCCGTTTACCCTGATGGCTCATACAGCGCTAAAATGTCTGAATTCACTCAATTGACTGAAGAAAACTATTCATTTCTTCCACTGAATCGTACCTTACTCAATGAACTCAGCAAAATCGACAATAGTTCTTTCGTTTTCGAAGCTGGCCGCCAACAGTTTCTCTATTTTCGCATACCTGATGAACTGGTCGTCCAGCAGCGAAGTGCACATAGTCTTAGCGGTATAGGCATACATTTTGGCCAACAAACTGATAGTTTAAATATTGTCCCGATTCTTGATGAGCAACAATCATCACCTGGAGTCAGCATCATTCCAACAAATCTACCTGATAGATCAAGATTGTTACGTATAGAAATTACAACTATGCCTACGATGTGTTCTCAGCCAGGAATTGCCGATTCTTGTACCAGTGTGGATTATAATGCGTATTTGATATTTGACAAAACTCAACTATCCACTTGGTCGGTTACCTATCAAGCGAGTGTCGCTTGTGGTGACATATGCAGTACATTAAGCAGTTACTCCGCTTGTGCAGTTTCATGTGGTTCTCAATGTGACGGAGATCAAGTGGCTGGTGCTGATACACCAGTCACACGGCGTTATAATCTAGGTCGAAGAAATGTACAATTCAAATTTCAATACGAAACTTACTCGGTGCGAGATCGAATCAAAGTCTGGAACGATATTAATTTATTATTTGATAGTGAGTGTGTTGGGACTAGTGGTGTGCGAACGAAATATTTGGTATTGTCAAATAAAACCAATGTGCGTGTTGATGTTGAACCAAACTGTGGATGTCAAAGTTTGTCCGGTTGTACAGGAACATTGTGGCACTTTACGGTTGTTTGTCCGGAAGTGTGTCCAGTGGAAAACCACAGAGCAGATACTAGCAGTGCTGTGAAATTAAGCTCGGAAGGTAGAATAGTGACAAACGGTGCAACATTATATATTACAGATGAAGCAATAATGCCATCACTAGTTGCCTCATCCTGTGAACCAGTGACTTGGGAAGTATTATTCAGCTACCAAGCCGCATTTCCAGGTGCATTGTCCTTCTCCAAAAAAGTCACTGGTCAGTCGTCTGATTCGACATCATATGATATTATAGGATCTTTACAAAACGAAACAATTGGCGGTATCGTAACAGCAAAATGGATCGTAGTTTCAACTAAAACAAGTGGTGAAATTAAATTCAATATCCTTGGAACACAGCCAGCAAAAAGAACTATAATGACTTATATTGACAGCCGTAGCTCATTTTGGTATGCAAAGAACATAGCTGCACAGGAGAGTAGCGGTGGGCAACAGTTTTCAATAGACCGTTATCCACTTTTCTCGTCTGCACACGATAATGGTTACGGTATCTATCAGATTACAAATCCAACGCCTACTTATAATGAAGTTTGGAATTGGAAAGCCAACGTCGACGCGGGAATTCGGATCATTAATCAGAAGACAACTGCTGCAATTTCATGGATGGCTAATCAACGTCAACAAGCTAAACAGGAAACAGGCAGAGAACAACCGGTCGATGACGAACAGGTTGGACCTAATTGTTTGTTTTCTGATAATAGCGCTAGAACGATTGCAGATGCCGTCGCTATAAAACAATTTAATGGAGCTTCGGGAGGTAACTATTGTGCTTGGGATAATGGCAATACAAAATGGAAATTCAATCGTCAGAACAATCGAGGAGAGAACTATGTTTTATTTGTATGTAATCAAAGACTTTAAGATGATTAAACATTTTATCTAAAACGATTGCTTTGTTCACTTTATACATATTATCCAGAAAACTGTAAAATAAACTGATGTGGATGTGAGTTTAGGTCAAGAGTGGATACACCCTCACCCTCAAATGAGTCAACAGGAAGAGGGGAACAGCATTTAAAAAAATAACAAGTTCTTCTTCTTTTCCTATTATATAACTTTCCCACTGACTCATTCTATCGTCTATATAAAAATACAGTATTTGTATCCCATTGGCTTTTTCTATCTATAAAACGAAAAATATGGATCAGTTTATTCGAAGGCTTCATTTAGGTAGTCATCATCAATATGTTGAGAATCCAAAGCTATACCATAGTCAAAGAAGTATTATATTAATCCACAACATAAAAACAAGTAACGCTCATCCTTTGGATTCGCTGACCCTTTTCTGAAAGACTTTTCCGAATGCTGAACACATTCAGAGACTTTGAAAGAGAAAAAAACGCACTGCGATTGCTACTAGTGCTCAACTGAATCATGGCACTATGCCACATACTAGAATGAATAGGATGCAAAAGTCTTTTTAGGAATCAGACCGATTAGCCATTTGTCAGTGGATAATTCTCCAGCACTCACTATGTTGACTGAAAAATTCATCGCTCAACGGCTAGTGAGACGGCCACTCACGGCCAACCATTGACCTTTGTCATCTGTTTTTCTATTTTCACATCATGCGCATGGAAATTTTCATAAATGGTTTACAAACTCACTCA